CAGCACAGGCGACCGACGCCCAAGTGCCACCTTGGTCTTCCCTGCGCCCTGAACACACGTGGCTTAGACCTGCTGTCGGCCTCCGAGGGGCCCGTGGGACGGGGGCGGGAGAGGAAGGAGACGGCCCCGGCCCCACGTATGAGGCTGGGAAAAGGGGGCGTCCGGAGGCGCCTGAGGCAGGCCTGGGGGGGGGGTGCTGGGTTCCACAGGACCCGTGGAGGACACGGGCAGCAGATACGCCCCAAAGCGAAATCAGAGGGAGGAGCAGGCACTCTGGGAGCAGATGAACGGGGAGCGCCAGGCACAGAGAGAAAACGGGGTGGGGGGAGGCATCTCGGAGGGAACAGCGTGAGCAAAGCCTGGGCGGCGGGAAGCAGCCTGTGGTCGGCGGGGCCACAGTGGTGTGTGCAGAGCAAGGCACAGCCTGGCACTCAGACCCTGGGGGCTGCCAGCGAGTGTGGGTCTCACCCAGGGCACGGACAGGCGGCATGGCCCGCACTCACACGCACTCACACATACGCACACGCACTCACACACGCACACGCACACACCTGTGTGGAGCCCTGGCAGGCAGGCACTGGCCCAAAGCCTCTCCTAACTGCTATGGTAGGCTCAGGGCGGCTGCAGAATCAGAGAGGGCGAGCCGCCTGCTCAAGGTCACACAGCCTGAAGGGGCAGTGCGGGGCAGCCGGGCGGCACCCAAACCAGGGGCTCCCAAACCTTTGTTGCGTGTCCTCCACCTCCAGCGCCGCAGCGAGTTCACACTCCAGGTCCCTGTGAGTGAGCGCTCCTCCACGGCCACCAGTGTGCCCAGCCCCCGCAGCACGGCCTGCAGGGAACGCAGTGCGGGGGAGGGTGAACCGCGGGCTCCAGGGCTGAGCAGAGGACACACAGCTGCAGGGGGCCCCCCAGGGCCCAACACGCCTCCCTCATTTCATTCTCACAGCAAAGCTACTGGCGGGAGCCCACTTCACAGGTGGGGAAACTGAGGCCAGGAGGCCCTGCTTCCCAGCTGCCCAGCTGGATGGGTGCCCAGGAGGTGGCTGGCGCTCAGAGCAGCCCCTCCCACATCGAGCCCCTTCCTGCCCCGCGGTACTCAGGCGGCACCAGGCCCAGCCAGTCACCCACCCCCTCAGCCAAGTAGCTCAACCCAGCCACCCACGCAGGGGGGGAGGCAGGGCCCCGAGTGGCCATCAGCATTCAGGGAAAGGGG